GCCCTGGGCCCCGCCGAGCAGCTCCCCGCTCCATCCCCGCGCCTCTGCCCGGGAACAGCCCGCGCTGGCGGGGTGGGAGGAAGCGCCGCTCCAAGGCGTGAGGTGGGATGCGAAGAGCATCCCCAGGGAGCCCCAGGGACCGAGGTCTCCCCGAACTGCTTCATCCCCGCAGGAATTCCTCCCCGTCCCGACGCTCCAGCCTCTGCGCTGCCTTGAGGAGCGAGGAGGCAGCGGCCTCTGCCCACTTCAAAGGGGGCCGCAGGTCTTCGACGTTGTCGCTGGAAGATCCTTTTGAGATTCCTGGGCGAAAGGCCATACAAGTGCAAAACATTAATGCTTTATAGCTGATGAGGGCATATACATTCAAATACTAAGTGGCTCGAGGAGCACACAGGTAGCATATGTAAATAAGGCAGCCATCAAAAGGCAGGCAGGCCTCGCTTGCGGGCTGGGAATGAATAAAACATGCAGCGAGTGGTTTTGCATCTTGCAAACTTGTTATAGATGTTGCAGCCCCAGGCTTGACAGCATCATAAATAAGCGAGAGCCAAACCCACACTCTGTGGAGTCAAAAAAGCTTCAGTTTACTAAGCAGGAAACAGCCAAAAGGAGCCAAAGCTGGTCCTTTAGCAATCCTGCTACCCCCAGCATCTTGTCAAGGGAGTAAGCACGGTGTTTAGGAAGGCAGCCCTCTCCCCAGGCGGCCCTTTGGAAAGGTAATCATCCACTGGCCTATAAACGCGGGGAATGTGCATACAGGGTGGTAAACACAGCTCGGGGAGGCTGGAGCAAGATTGCCATCTCTGCGGTTTAATCTCAGCCTCCTCGCTGCCACCTGAGTAGCAGCATTCAGCAGCAACGAGGGTGTTTGGGAGGTTTGCATTCGAGACGGATGCTCCAGGAGGATGCTTTGCTGTGGAGTGCCGTGTTCGACGGAGGCAGGTTAAATGAGCCCTCCCGGCTGCTGAAGCATCAACATAACGAGATAAGCAATCAGATCCATTCACTCAGCACGCAGAGCTGAACCATAGGGACAGGGGAATTTCGGTCTACAGACACCTTGAATCACCCCTGAATGCCTTGCTTCAGTTAAGGAGTTTTAAATACCTACCCCCAAGCCAACAGCCATAGGCTGGAGCCTGCCTGTGCAGAGAACATCTAAGTTTCCCTCTCACATGCTCTAAATCCTGCATAAAATTCATTTGGCTTGAGATTGCAGCATGTGCACGATGCATGCACTTGTCCCGGAATTGCTTTCGCACGGAGTATCAAGTGTTTAAAAGCTAGCTTAAAATGATCTCTTTTAATGACAGGAGACAATTTCTTGTAACAAAAGTCATTGATGAAGCAAAGCAGCATTCTTACTCATTCATAATGCATTGTGTAGGCACATAGTTACAGATAGTTCTGCCCCATAAAGCCATTAAGAAATCTGTAAAGCTTGGCTGGGGGAGGAGGGGTGACAGGCACCTGAACCAACTCTGTTAACCTCAGTCAGCACTGTGGGTGCTCAGCCCTTTATCTTAAGTAGGATTTACCATCTACATTTACATTCCCTTCCAGTTTTAGGTCCTAATTCAGCAAATATTTACATGCCTGGGTAACTTGACTCATGGGAGCAATCTCCTTGATGTCAAGGCAGTTGTACATATGGATAAAGCTATTTGCAGATGCAAATAGGACGGACCCTTAATCTGAATTTCAACAGGCGGTTGGAAGCAGGGATGAACATAACAGCTTGAACTTGTTTTCTTTCCCATCAGTTACACAGGCTGAAAAGGACAGAAAATTGGAAGAATGTCTAATGTTAGAGGCCTTCTTGCTCTTAGTTTTTCATAATCTTATCAGGGCAAATTGACAAGATTAAAAAAGGCACTTTATCAAGTTTCAACCATATATTTTGGAAATAGAATATACTCTGCTTTTATAAGATGGTATATTACTAAATGTCATTAATATCTATTTCTTTTTTTTTTTCCCCGTTCCCAGTAAATTCACAATGAACTTGTCAAAGTTTTGAATGAGAAGTTGCAACAGTTACACTGAGAGAAAAATTAGTTATACATTGAGGTTTGGGAGGACACCAGCTGACCTGATGCAAATCCAACAGTCCTGTATTGAAACTGTTCACCTGGAAAGAAGGTCGTCGAAACCAACAACAGAAAGACTTGAAACCAACTCTCATGACTGGAAGTGGAGGGAAGGAGGGAGAAAAAGGGTGGGGATGGGAAAGATGTACATGAAATTTACCTGGTTAAAGTATTCCGTATAAGTGATTTGAATCCCAGAGTGGCCAGTGAAAGACAGGGATTCAATGAAGCAGGAGACACCTGAAACGGATATCCAGTGGCATTATGAAGGACCTGTCCATTAAGGAAGTCTCTTAATGGTCTTAATGGAGAGAAACTATGTGTCAGTGGCTGTATTTAATTCAGGCTGTGTGTCAGACTGCAGCACAGAGCTTATACTTTCATATATTAATATATATATATTTTCAATACTTAACACAATTTTTATATATTTACCTTAGTAATATACAGTGTTTTCCTGCAATAGTCCCAACATCATCACCATAGCTTCCCCTATAATAAGAGCTCCCACACGGAAAAACTTACAGTGTAAGACAGCAAAGGGAGCATCATCCTCCCTCCCTTCCTCCCTCGCTGGCTGCAGAATTGAGGCACAGAGATAAGAGATTAGCCAAGGGTCATGCAAAGCCCAGTGCAGAACTGATAACTCTGAAAGCCCCGGCCAGGCCTTTAGGTCAAGCCCATCCTGTCTCCGAGCCGCCACTGCAGAACCTGTTGTCGGTTTTGTTAAACTGGGCTCTCCAACCAGACAGCCACAATGTATCTGGAAATGCAGCAATCCAGATATTTGCTTAAGAGCAGCTTTCCTAAAATACCAACTACTACAATATTACACATCGAGCATAAAAATAGACCATTGAAAAAGAAACCTTTGTCTGGTCAGCCCCAGTGTAATTCCTGTAATTAAAGTGAATGGAACATTTGGAATATGGCTTTGCAATGAAAGAAAGCCTCAAACAAAGCAAGCTGTTCTTTTCAGCCCTGGAGGTCAAGAATACTTAGAGCTTTTACTTTATTTTTAAGAACATACTTTTCATAGCTCCTTTTTTAATAGTCAGAAATTACAACCTGCTACATATAAGGTAAAATAGTATAGCCAAACTTTCATTGATGGTAAAAACAAACCTGAAAATGACTCACATTCAGATTTTTGAGACAACTGCACAAATTTTGAAATCTCTCCCTTGTTCTAGGTCAAGGGGGCAGTGTGGAATTGTGAGGGTTAGCAGTGTCATTCTGGCTGCTAACAGGAAAGTGAAAACAGCAATCAGGAAAACTGGATTAATGACCTACTCTAAATCAGTGCAGGGGTCCATGTAAAATCATGGCATTTTCTCCCAGAAAAACCTTCATGGGAGTTTCATGTTTCTCTGTGTAGG